GCCGTATCGGTAGTGTGTTTGTGTATCGCGGGCTTCACCTTGCTGCCCCGTTCAGTCGAAGAATTATTAAATTTTAAGGGGTTCTACTGCGGTCTTGGATCATAGAGAGGCATCCTAGATATTGTAGTGTTTGATTGGTAAGGTATTCTGCCCGTGAGCGTGCGGTTAAGTCCCCCCTATTTCAAAAAAAGAAAAAGATATGTGAGTGAACGCGAGGCCAAGTGAGACGCCATTTTGAAAACCGTCCCGTGTTTCCTTTTTGTTCCGAGAAGGGTTAGGACCGACGATGTTTTGCTTCAGACTCGACGAAACGTGGCGATAGAAGGATAAAATAAGTAAAATAAAGAATAAAAAGAAAAGAAAAAAGAGTACAGAACATGGCCAGAGAATCCTATCTCTTGTTTATATGGATGGTAGGAGTTTATTGCAAGACAGAAGGGACTCAGCAATGGCAACCTCAAGGATTATCCATCGTGCAGGATCTGAAAGGACCTCCAGACGCCCCTCTAGGAAGCGTGTATGTCGTGGAAGCGAAGGACGCCCAGCAGGAGGAAGACAAATCTTACGGAAATTTTACCGATAAAACAAAAGGTGAAAATAACGTTTTCTTTTACTCTCTCTCTCTCTCTTTTTTTCATTCCATGTTAGCTCCTTTCACTTCTTTACTTTCACTCATATTTATGATATGTCATGTTCTATGTTTTTGTTTTTTTCCTGGTGCTCTCCGGTTATATATATTATCTGGTTTTATTATCACCGTGGTTATCAATATCACGTGATAGCGAATAAACATATTAGGTTACGTGTCCATCAAATTTGAGTATAAATAAGTTAGTCATCTTAAATAAGTATAAAAAGCTTCAGCAACATCGTATATCGACAGAATTAAGTCGCATAGGCAATTAGGTAAGTGTATACTTAGGGTGACATGTTATTCTCACAGGAAATGTTAGGTGGAAAAGAGATGTGTTCGGATGCATTGTGTGTTGTTGTTGGCGAAGGCTTGGGCTTAGTTGCTGAATGTATCAACGTGTGTGTTCGTGTAAGAGAGAGAGAGAGAGAGAGAGAGAGAGATTGATGATGACTGTAATGATAGTGATAATGATGATAATGATCATCATCATTATTATTCTTGTCCTCCTTATCATTATCATTATAAGTTTTGTTATTGTTATTGTTACTGTTATTTTTATTATTGTTGTTACTATCTATATTATCATCATTATTATTATCATAATTATTATCATGATATCATTACTGTCCATCTTACTATCTCTGTTATTATTATCAATATATATTATTGATTCTTAATTATTATCATTATCATGTACTATCACCATCATCATTATTATCATTATCATTTTTATTATCACCATTACTATTTGTATTTTATCATCATTATCATCACCATTACTATTGTTATTGTTATTATTATCATTATCATTATTATTATTAATGTAGCTCTCATTAATAGTGTTTTTGTTACTACCATCATTATCATTATTATTATCCTTATCATTAGCATTATAATTATATATATTCATCATCATCATCATTATTAATACCATTATAATTATATATATATATATTCATCACCATCATCATTATCATTATTATTATAATTATGATTATATATATTCATCATCATCATTATCATTATTATTATTAATAGTATTATCATTATAATCATATATATTCATTATCATCATTATTATTATTATTATTATTATGATTATTATTATCATTGTGATTATCATTATTATTATCCTTATCATTAGCATTTCGTATAACTTCGTATAATGGATGCTATACGAAGTTATTACGATCAATAATGATAATTATATAATTATCATTATTGATCATGTTATCATTGTTATTATTATTATTAATAGATTATCATTATAATCATATGTAATAATCATCATCATCATCTTTATCATTATCATTATTATCATTATTATTATCCTTATCATTAGCATTATAATTATATATATATTCATCATCATCATCTTTATCATTATCATTATTATGATCATTATTTATTTTTTTATAATATTATTAGTTGTGTAGCAGCAGTTGTTTTAGAAGTAGTATCGTTATAATTACATTATCATTATTGATCATGTTATCATTGTTATTATTATTATTTCGTATAACTTCGTATAATGTATGCTATACGAAGTTATTACGTATCATCATTATCATTATTATCATTTTAATTATATATATTCATCATCATAATCTTTATCATTATCATTATTATCATTATCATTATCATCATTATTATTACCATGCCTCTCATCACCAACAGTAAAACTGCCATTACAATTATTATCATTATCATCCTCATTATTATTACCATTCCTCTTATCACCAACTGCAAAACTGTCATTACAATTATTATCATAATCATCACCATTATTATT